GAAGATATATCAGGGATTGAAATACAAACAAATCTACCCTGAAGGCTCTAGCACTTGTAACGATGGCGTCTTAGGTAGAGTGTCGGCAAATAGTTGTAAAAAAAGTGAGTTTAGTTCGGTAGTGAGATAGACAAAATAATGGAAGAAATACAAATTAACTTATTAAATTCCTCGAAACAACCGGCAGGTCAATACCCCTCTCATCCCCGGAGTCTTTTGCAATAATTTTATAACGCAACGCGTTGCGTTAATTAAACTGTTTGAGAAGTTGATGTTGCTGACATGTAATATAGAATTTTTGTAAAAATCTTCCCGGGAGTGCTTTATGAATACGATTTAATTTTGACATGTTACACTTTCTTACCACAACATTACACTCCACTAATGTAATAAGTTGGGTGCCTAGAATACCCAACCCCATAACAAGGCGTTCCCGTGTAAAATCTAATTGGCCTGAAGGACGAACTACCACTTTATGCTTGTAAATTTTTTTTATTTTATTATGAAATAAAGCTCCCTAAACCCGAACGTAAAAGAGACAGCCTTCCAGTAGTGTATTGCCGTAAAAATTAATGTTGGCCGCGAAGCCCGGCGTAAACTTATAATGTATAGACGGGCATCAGCGATAAGATATCTCGGGACTACCTTCTGAGATCGTGTTTAATACTTGTTTGACGGGCGGGGCTTTGACTCAACAGTGCCTAAAGTGACTAATACGAGTGGCAAAGAGTACCCAGATCGAAACCCACGAAAAAACGACGAAGAGGAACAGTACAAAAAGAGACAGCAAATCAAAGGGAACCACACAGATCAAGCAAGACTAACACGGAGGTGGACTGCCGGGAACAAAAAAAGGAGGGGACGGAGCGCGACAAAGAGCGAGAACACGTATAGGGGAGGGACATAAGACATAAAAAGAGAAGGACGCAAGTTCACAACCACGGAAGAAAACGATACCACGTGGTCAACGTGGCTTCTCGACAAAACAAACAGGCGTCAAACTAAACATTCAGGAACGTTTGATTTCCCATACGAGTTCACGATTACGACGGCATAACCCAGGATGACGAAGTGAAGATCAGGTACTTGTTGACGCGCTTGACTATACACTGCACTGAGCATTATATAGTCGGTTAGTTTGTTTTAGAAGTTAAAAGAGAAGTGTTGTATTCACAGGTGAACGTCATAGTATGATTAAGACCGACTGAAAATATAAACTAGGTTAGTCAATAACCCACATATAAATGTGTGGTATTGGCCACGGTGTCCGACTATCTTTCCCGTGGACCACACCATTCGGCAATACCTTACATAAATAAAACATAATACATCCTATAATTATCCTCTGTGTCTGTCTGTTTGATTATCCGGAAATAAATTTGGTAATTTCTTATGAAACCAATTCCAGAATAAAAACTTATTTCTTTTTGTCGAAAACCTCTCATTATGGATTATTCGGACTGTTTCAGTGATTATATAACGAAAGGACGTTACAATTGGTGACAGCATTCGTGAATAAAAATTCGACTATAATATGCATCATATGAGAATATTCACATACATCTTATCATATTCTTTACACGTCTTATACTGTCAAACTTACCACCTCCATATGTGTATAACCTATCTACAGAACATTCACGTGACAACTCCTTGGACGCTGGGTTCAAAAAGTAGAGGCGGAACAGTCCATAAACTTGTTAGTTATTTATATTGCTTGTGTCTTAATATAATTTATTTGTGTATCTTAAACCACACTAATATGATTTACTCAAATGTTTATTTCATGGTGACGTATAAATGTTGACAATGTGTACGGACTACATTGCCGTTTACAAAGGGTGAACCCTAGTTAATTTCATATAGAATAGGAATTCTACCCTAGCTACCGATGACGGTATAAACGGGGAGACCTTGGAACTGTTCACGTTACAAAAGTCCGGAATAGTTTACTGGTGTCCTCCAGTGTCTGTAATTCTCGGTCGACAAATTTATTTCGAGAAGAGACTGGAATCGACAGTACACCCATTATTATAATTACGACGTGGTAATACCCGGGTGTCGGTAAAAGTAGGGAACATAATTAATATACAAAATTTACCACTACACACAAGATGGGGAGATTTGTAGGTCCCCTACATGTGTCAAATTATGACCCGTTGAAGAATAATACCCTTTATGCTTTTGCAGAAAAATTTTGATGTTGAAGGGCACATCTCTGCACGGTATCCAGATTTGTACCAACGCTTTGTGTGTTATCGGGTCGTACACATCAAGACCCTGCCGCCACCCCCTCCCGCTGCCCCACCTGGCAAGTTTAGGTCAAAACGTCAGAATTGTACGCAAGCTACAGAGTAAAGTTACACGTACAGCGGAGTAGACGCCTAAGTTGGGTGCATCGTAGTGAGAGGTTGTCGTACGACTAACCTGACCACTAGTGCCTGCACGTCGCAGTCTGCCACACCTCGGGCATTCATCGAACGCAGAATGCGCGTACACATTTTGAAGAGATTTCGTGAGATCAGCGAATGCTCGCGTAGGCATGACGAGCATGGCTGCCTCAGAGTGAACATCATATGTCTAGCTGGTTAGATATTCGGTTACCGATCAGGCAGCCCTCGAGCTCCCAGCATGAAGAGCTATAGGGATCTACCGAAATCTCTTATCTGTGTGGTCGTAGTCACATTGCATAAGAGAGGCAAAGAAGCGAAGCCTGTTTTGGGACCACTACTCAGGGAGTTTCGAGACACTAACCTCTTTACACACCCGGGCTCCCAATGCGGCTTGTTATGAAACTTTTACCCTACCTTGGTACCGTCTGACAGGTTTTGACCTAAACTTACCCAGGTGGGCAGCGGGGAGAGCGGGGTAGGTGGAGGGGTGGGGCCAG